GCTTGTTCTTTCAAGGACAATCACGTGCACATTCCTGTGCAAAAGCAGCGGCATGTTCCAGTCCACATCCCTGTGGAAAGGCCTGTGGAGGTGCTGCCTTCTCCAGTCTGTGATTTCTAGCACCATTTGACAGAGATGCTGCTCTTTTTAAGCCGCGTGTAGACTGTAGACGCGCATGCAAGATGTTCTAAAGACTATTTGAGAAACCAAGTTAGACAACAAAAAAGCAGTTAGAACACCGCTGGATGACAACTCCAAGTCAAGAATACAAGATGCCAAACCTTGCATAGACCGAGATGACTGATGTGCAGGTGACCGTCATCGAGACACTTGAGAAGATTGTAGATGTGCCTGTCGTGAAGCAGATTGAAGTGCCACAGGTGCAGATGGACATTTTGCAACGCTTTTCCGCGCCGGTAATAGAGAGAAACAACTTGACTCCCTTTTTGCAGGTTCAGACCATCGAGAAGATCGTTGAGATTCCTCTAGTGGCTCAACAGAAATTCCTTGGTTGGATTTGCACCAACAATGGCCTAACACTTCCATGAAGCCCACTGAGACATAGTGAGAAATTCGAAAGGCATTGTGCTGCTACAGGTGCAGACAGTCGAGAAGGTCGTGGAAGTGCCTCAGGTTGGCCAGACCATGCAGGGCACCACTCGGGAGGTAGACATTCCTTTGGCTCCACGGCGGGAGGACAGAAGTTTTGACACTATCAGATCCTGCCATTCTCATTCATGCACATATCATATATGAATATCTAGAACAATGCACATTTGTATATCGTATATTATATATATGTAATGAGTTGTATCTATCTATCTATCTATCTATCGATCTAGATAGATTCTAGAGATGTATTTTCTCGCCGTTTCACTGAGTTCGCAGAGCCCTCAGAAACCTTGACATGTGAGGAGCATGCTGTCCAAGTGGTGGAGCAGGCGTGATAGTTTGATGGAAGCATATTCAGGTGATTGTTTCCAACCTAGAAGGAATGGCCTCCAACGTAATGGCGATGGCCTCCAACCTAGAAAGAATGGCCTCTAACCCAATAGCGATGGCCTCCAACCTAGAAGGAATGGCCTCCAACCTCCAACCTAATAGCGATGGCCTCCAACCTAGAAGGAATGTCCTCCAACCTAATAGCGATGACCTTCAACCTAGAAGGAATGGCCTCCAACCTAATAGCGATGGCCTCCAACCTAGAAGGAATG